AGTGTCACAGGCAATAGAAGTAGGATTTCACACCTTGGTAGCTGTGCTGTCTGGTTTGTCTCCTTTGTTTGTTTGTTTCATTCATTTATTTTAGGACACTGTGAACTGCAATGACAACAAGCCTTTCAAAATATACAGGGGATTATCAAGCTACTGTAAAAACACAAGAGATCCTTCTCTCCTGTGAAATTGTTTTTCTTCTCTGAAGTAGGCAAAGCGAACCGAAGGTAACACTAGGCAAGATTTGCTTTTGCCTCCTCCCTTCCTCCCACATTTCCTACCTCGTCTATATTTTTCTTCTTTCTATTGAACGCTTGTTCGTCCTCTTCTTCCTCCTCCCACTCTTTGCTTCGCATATTACGAATGCAATCATATGATTATGAGAGGACTAACAGCAAAATTACAAAAACGCGCTTAAACATTGACAAACAGCAAAGGAAATAAAAAAAAAAATCTAACGTGCCAATTCCTTCCAACTCCTTCGCATTGTAAACACCGGAGAAAGAGGCAGAAACAAAAGATATATGGAACGGAAGGTAGGCTGACAGCTAATATTACTAATTTCATATCAGTGACCAAAATTTCGCGTGTCGTCTATGTGGCGTCTGTCACTGTTTCTGTGTCTCCCTCTCCCTCTCTCTTCACACGTCTTTCTCTCTCTCTCTCCCTTTCTCATAGTGCAGACCTGTGCTCCGTATATTCTGGTGAAAACGTCATAAATTAAAAACTTGACACGCGGAAGTCTCAAAAGTATAAAAGTAAGACCGATGATTGTACAGTTGTGATAAACAAAAAATGATACAAAATTGGGCTTTATGTTAGAACCCTGCCATGATAAAATGGCTGGCAGGGTTAACGAGCGAAACTATACAGCAGTTTTGTCACTAATCATCTGGCACTCCAATTTTATTTCTACCTTTTTTCAATAATATATCAAAGGCAGGGAGCGTCTGCTCTCTCTGCGTAACATTCCAAGAGAGAGGAGTAGAAGACAGTGCAGATTATGTAGAAACAGGAAGAGCGAATCAGGTGGGAACGAGAGAGGACGAACCTTCGCGGCTGACCCCCTCCTGCGCTTCACTGCCTGTGTCGTTACACGTGAGGTAATCAGCGACTCAAGTCCCTCCCTTGTTGGCAAGACACACGAGTCCAATCATCCAGAAGTGAACTCACCCTGTCGTTGACAACATTCCCCTGCATCGCTCAGCCATGATAGAAAATGTTTCTGCATCACTCAGCCATGATAGAAAATGTTTCCCGCGCGCCACCCGCCTCGTCAGCGCCTTCCCTCTCCCCTTCGGCGCGGAACCGCTGGCTGTCACGTGACCCGATTCCTGAAGGGAAGGCCCTCGGCGACGCTGAGATTGGGCTCACGAGCGGAGGCGGCGCTGAGGGAATCCCTGTGAATCCATCTAGATCAGGATGGGTAATTGATTGTTACAAGGGCCTCATGAACCCTGAATTGTGCCAGGGGGCCACACCAACGATAACTTGAACAATTTGCCGCGGGCAGATAGACAGCTCGAATAGAAATAATTTGTGTCTAAATGTAAGGACAGAACATGTGTGCAATTCCAAGCCTTGATATGAAGATGCCAGTATTTCTATATCCTTTTCATTTCCCAAAACATCTGCCTATCCCTAAAATATCGAATGGTGCTACACTCTTATTTTTGAACATGAGTGGAAATCAGCTTTGATCTTTGAAGCGTTTTGTAGATTTAATTCTACGATCGTTTTGAAAGCAGTTTTAGTAAACATTCCACTAAACATTTCGTAATCATTGGTGTTCATTCGAATTCCTGTTAGATGAAATACTGTTCTTGTCATGAATTTCTTATAATTTCTGCTGAAGGAACAGTTTTACCGTCAAAGTACGTTTTCGAAGATAAATATAAATCAATATACAATTTCTGTAAGAGACGCTATGAAATGACAGGCTTTCTCAGGAGTGTGTACATGTGTAGCGTGGTTGAAGTGTGGGGCACCGACACTCGCCCTACTACAGGAGCTGACGAGTGATCCTCGGACCGCAGAGAAGATGTGGGCGTGGGCGAGGGCGTGGGGAAAAGCCGGCCATTTCTACCTCCTGCAGGAGTGGACACAAAATCCGTTCATGTGCACGGCTTTATCTCACGAAGCACTACTGCTACTAAAGCCTCGAAATCACAGATGGCAACGACACTCACTGGCAACAAGGTAGCACCGCAGCATATCACAACTTATCAGAGTGAGGCACAAATCAAAGATCAAGAGTCCTCCCCAGCCCACACTCACACCTCTCCACAGTCAAGGTCACCCGCCAACTGCCCTCTGTGGCGACTCCATGGAGCGTCACGGCAGGGGTTGCCAAGTATCCAAATTGTAAGAGGTTTGAGTGTGGGTTAAACTAGCTCCTGCCGGTCCCAAAACTTACTATACATACTTCTGGAGGTGTGGCGTTTATAAAAAGGGCAAGGGCTTGCCAAAAGGGCATCAGAAAAAGGCATTGAAATAAAAAGTGAACACCCCAAGTGGGCAACACGATCACCCGTTCGCATAAGCGAATCCATGAATCTGGGCGCGTTCGTGTAACTGAAAATACGTAACTCTACACATGTTTAAAAGAATACTCATTTAAAGAATCTTTGAATGGACAATATAACATATCAAATGGCATCAAAAAAAATATAGCTGAAAAAAATAGTTTCATGGGAAGAGAGAAATAAAATGAAATGAAAAAAAAAATATAACAAGGTTAGGTACCACAATTCATCTCATACGGTACAAAATAAAATGAAATGTAAACAAGAATTACATCTCATACGTTACAAACAGAACATAAGATGTAAACAAGAATTACATCTCATAGTACAGCATAGAAGATGTATAGTTAGCACATGATCCAGCTGCCACAATAATAGCATTTCACACCTTAGTAGCTGTGCTATCTACTCCATCTTGATTTTTACTTA